GAGATCTGGGTGTAATCTCCACACCTCGGTACCACGTGTCCAAAACTTGCAGGCCCTCGGGAGCCGTATATTGTACATGTTACATAAATTTATAAACAAAAATAAAACTTTTGTGGCTAAGATTTTTTTTTTTTTTTGGCAATTCTGACTTGAGAAAGCATCTTTTCTTCTCATGTGTTCCTTTTTTGTCCCTGCAGAGATTATATTAAAAACACTCTTTGGGTGCTGCTGGAGGTTGGTCGACCATGCAGCTGCACAGTCTGTGGACAGTCCACGCCCTCCTGGCACTGTCCAGCTTGGCTCTCGGGAACCCCGTGAGCAATGACCCAGTGGCTGCGCCTCGCGTTTTCATCTCCTTCAAAGGTAGGAACCTGAACCTCTGCTCTCCTAACCCCATCTGCCACTCAGTCCCGGTTTGCAGCTGAAGTCGTAGTATTTCCTACTCCCCGTACTCTGTGCCAGTTTGCCATGTGTTTGCTTGTTGTATGACTGATGACATGACAGTTGTGCAATCAGAGCGACTGCAGCTTTGATGAGTGCTGAAGGTTTTTGAAGAGGAAGAACTTACAGCATCACCAGATTCTCATGTTACACCACAAAGCAGACCGCAAACAAATCATGCAGTTCTCATTCGCTGCCCCATCCTCAAACCTCCAGGCACTGTAATAACCACCAGATGCTTCCACCAACCTGTATTGTCCAAACAATTAAAAATACAAACAATAAGATGGGAGCAAACACATATTTATGATGTATGTTTTCTTTGTATGCATTTAGAAACATTATGCCTGATTATTGTTTTAGTTAATCAAACACAGCATCTTTATCTTCAAACACCTTTATTATGGAATCCCTAAATTGGAGGCACAAAGAGAGACGGGATCATAAGGAGCATGTAATAACTCTGTGGTCATTATGTGATTATTCCCTGCTGAGGCAGATGTGTGTTTCAGGAGGCTATGTTTGCGTGTTTCAGCAGCCGTACAGATTAGATGAAATGGGGTCTGAGGGGTGTGGAGAGGGAAGGGGTATTATCAAGGGCAAATTGCCAGGATCAGCCAAGCAGAGCGACATCCCTGAGGCCTGTCCTGCTCAGAGATCAAGCCTTTGATTAGCATCCAGAGAAAAGCCGAAGGAGCAGGCAGCAGCGGTGCTGCTGTTTGCTTTGCCTTCCATTTCCCAATGCTCCCTACTACAAGTTGACTTAATTAAGTGGACTGGCACAGTTCATTGTTAAGGCGTTTTCCTGCTTTAATCAAGTAGGATTTAACACATCAGTGAGCGCACATCCAGAGCTCAGCAATTTCTTCATTTTCCAAATACCACTTTAGTCAGTTCTTTACACAAGGGCTGTGTTGTTTTTAGAGAACTGTGTAAATTGTGTGTGTTTCTTTTTACTCTCTAGGCCTGTCAATGAGCAGACAAGCTTTTGTGTGGGTGCATCTGTGGATGGCTGAACTCACCAGATATATATTTGAAAGCAGCAGAATACAGGCACTGTTCTTTGGCTGACAAGCAGGGTGGAAAAAGCTCAGCTCTCCTGCTTACCTGTGTGTGTTTGCCTCTCCAGTCAATATGAATTTCACAGTCTACTGCTGCTGCCTTTCTCAGAGGAATGCACCCCCCTCTCTATTCAATATTATGACTCTCTCTCCTTAATTGCTTTTTGAGAGGCCCATGTAGTCCTTTTCTTGGCGAGCTGGCTGCACTTCCCCAATGCATCGTGATGTGTTAAGTTTTGCTTGAGCTGTTTGGGAAGGCAGTTTGGCTCTGAGCAGCAACTTTAAAAGAACACAGCACAATGACAAGAGTGGACAAAATGCAGGTTTTTAATGTGAGCGGAAAGCCTCTTAATTATCAGTTCCCTGTTTATAATTATTGATCATTCCGGCAGCGTGTCACACTGTGAAGAAAAGTCGAAGTGCAGCTCTAACGCTGCACGTCTCTCATTGCTGAATTAAACACATGTTCCAAACTGACTAACTCAGTAGCTGAGGAGCGAGGTTACGAACCATGACCTCCATCTGGGAGGCCCTCACTTCCCTATTAAAGCAGGTAGAATAAATCATGTGACCTAATTGCTTAGCTTTAGTCTGATGTAGTATGCATGGCTTTTATGATATGGAAATCGTCTTTGTCGGTATTCTAAAACACCAGCACAGGCTCAAAATGCTCAGAAATGTAATCTGTCTTCTTATGCAGGTTTCAGTTAGATTAGAGTTTGCAAAGGGATAAACATCAGAGGAAGGCTTTGATCAGTCTTCTGCTGGGGTGAAACGGCAGAGTTGACAAGAAGTGTGTGGTGAGGAGTTTGAACAGTAAATAGCTGTAATCAAAGTCAGATGAGCAAGCTGAGTGCTAGTAGACTGTGGAGGATGGGTGAAGCAAATCTGCCATACATAATCAGTTGACATTTTAAGGTAAGTTGAGCCAAGACTGCTGTCGATAGCAAGAGAGAAATCATATCAAATAATGTTACTGTGGGCTCACAGTAAAGTGAACAGGGATGTCAAGCTGGAGTCACATGGCATTTCTGCAAAAAGCAGCATTTTATAAAACCTTTCATTTTGACCGTAGGTGTGTTTCAATACACCTGCTTTTATGCACACTTTCTATTTGTGCAAACAGTGAAAAAAAATCTAAATATCACAAATGAGTAAAAAAAACCAACAGCAACAAATGTTGGTAATTAATAATGATGTACATAAAATATGTGACGTCCTCTGGAGATAAAAAGTAGCCACAGATGAAAACATCCGATCTGTGTAGAGCGCTGAGGAAACTGTAATTAGTACATGAAACAAACAGAAACTCCATACTTCCATCATGATTTGTGCTTTGTTTCCAACCATTTTAAGTTTGACTTCTTCTATAATAGTTTTAATGCCACTCAGTTGGAGAATTGGTGTCGCTACCTGTTTATCTCACTGTGCTCAACTCCTAATATTGATTATAAAGGTAGTGGATGGAAACTTGTTTTATAATTTTGCACTAAATTTAGATGGAAACCAGGCTTTTATAATTTTTTACATTTTATTCAGTAGTGTTAGTTGAATCCAATGCTGTTAAATTGGCCATTTTGTAAAGCTGTTCATCACTGAAGTGAACTGTTGATTAATACCGTATGTGAAAGGACTGTGGGAGAGCATCGCCTCTCTGTGAGAGCCTTTGCACCATACATCCATTAAGAGGTCAGCAGATTTATATGTGTGGCCTTTATATTGTGAAGTACAGAACACATCACATTCTCTGAGTGGACAGAGCGGAAGTGTTCCTCGCCATGTTTTTTGAAGTGTGACATAGTTCAGTTTATGCATTACACAGATCCCAGGCTAAACCCATGCTTGTGGCTTTGCTGTTTCAGGAGTTATACCACACATGAACCTTTGCCTCACCTGGGGCTACCACAGCTCCATTCAGTTACAAAGCAGCATTTAGCCACAGTCTACACAAAATGCTGTCTGTTTTATATGCTGTTGTTTATATGGAAGGTGCAACGTGCAATGAAAAGCCCTTACATTATCACTATCCACAAAAAAGCCCTTATATTAGAGCTAGAGCCACATTCTGCTTAGATGAACAGGCAGCAGGTAAACACTAGATCAGAATAAACAGAGACAGTGTCAGGAATAACTATGATTATACAGCAAGTTTTTGCTTTAAAAAGCCATGCAGATGTGATGTATCTGAGGGTGGAGCCATGTCATGTGCCACAAACAACCTGTGAGAATTAACACTGTGTACATGTTGACTTTTCTTTATTGGTGTTAATGAAATTTGTGACAGCTCCTCTGACAACTACAGTAGTGGAATGTCAGTACCAAAGAAAAGCCATTTAAATGTCCTAACATCCATGTGCGAATTACATTTTGCATTTTGGGGGGCTCTCCTTTCAACAAGAGGAGGTGGGGAGATGGTAAATGATGAATATCCTGCAGTCAGAATACCCTGTCAGACATTACTGATAGTGGGTCTAAACTCACTGTGTGCTGTTGTCACTCTGTTACAAATACCTCACATGGTCAAGACTACCACAGGGGATATAACCTATGTTGTGTTTTTTTTATGTTTTGTGATGGTTTGATCTTGGCAAAAGGAGCTGTAGGTGTAGATAAAGTGGGTGATATGTCTTTAACAGCCTGTGTGCTCCTGCAGGTCATAGTTTGTTTCTGGCAGAGGGTCACTACTGATATAATATCATAAACACAGGCAATGACAAAATTTCATTTTGAGACTCTCATGAGGTCCAAGCTCTCAGTCTGGGGGTCTGAGACCCCCAAGACCTCCCAGTTTTTTCCACACTGCCTAATGTCATAAGGACTACAGCATGCCCCCCACATAAGGCCAAATCTACAGGGGCAACACCAGAATGTGGGTCAGCTTTTATACACACACTCACTGCTGGCAGTGCAGGTGTCAGTGTAAGGAGGCAGCTCTGGCTCATTATTGTTATTATATTCCTCATCTCTCATCTGCATACCCTAACAGCAGGCTCCTATTTTTACTCCTCAGAAAAGGCTTCAGTCTATATTGGGTGTGAGTGTATGTGTGGGTGGGAGGCAGCGTAGGGTGAGAAACTGTCCTTTGGGGTTAAACACCAGGTGCTCTGGAATGTGTCTACTTTTATTATTATGGCAGTTATATTTATAATGTATGTTTTTTGGCTTTAATGCCTGGGAATAACAGCAGATGAAGAATGCATCAGAAAATCCCAGCTAAAAGGCATCTTAGGAGCGTAGCTGCACAGTGGAGAGTTGTTTATATAATTCACCAGTTTGCTGTCAGATCATCTCTGGGGTTGCCCTTTTTACTGCTGTCCTGTCACTTACTAAATGTTTAAACTGTTATTACTGTTGGTCACAACAGTTGTAAACATTAGTGGTCAGGATTGGCTTAAGCTCTTATCACTGACCCGATAAGCTATGATAGCTGGGTTTTTGAGTGTTTGATCATTACTTAACGTGGTTTCCTTGGCAAATTTGTATCCAAGCCTCTTTCTCTGCACTATGATGTAAATGCAATATAGCTCGGATATTTGTTTAAGGTAATCATCACTGATAACTTCCTGCTCGGCTGCCTCTTCCCGTTTCTTGTTACAGGTCTAATTTACAGCATACCTTAAGTACACTGGCACACCATCACCCTTACTGTAATAACTGCAGTATTACACCATATGTTGAAGCCGTGAAACCACTGCCCCAGTATCCTGGCACCGCTGCTGATGTTTGGCTGTGATCTGTAATTACTGTTTGTGAGAGCTGAGTTCTTATAGCCCCATGGCAGCAAAGTACCGACTGACGAAGCATTGACAGATATTACTTTGGCCGTGTCCCAGACCTCAGCTTGTCTCCACAGCAGCTAAT